TGTATCACTTTAATAATATAATAGATTATTTATATCAAAATGTGGCAATTTTAGGGACATCTTAGGATACAAATCAAAATTGCTGCTTAAACAGCTGCTCTAACGCCGGTAGCATCGTACCCGGGGCCTTTATTGCCGATTGCTAGGTGTATTTCAACCCAAATATAAATGCAGATTGCGTGTAGAATGGAGTGAGATGCATTGTTACTGACTAAGATCAGCTATGTTTTAATCAGGGCCGGCCATTTATTAAAATCCCAATGATCTAAAGGTAACTTGTTCCATTATTGAACCATTAAAACATTTTATGAATTAACCTTTTGCCTTTTCAGGTGAATATCATAATCCATTCAGCTACCCCTAGGCGGGTTGCGATAAGATATTATATGAGCCATATTAAATATATTAAAAAAAATGATATTCACTTAACTAAAAAATGGCTACAGCTAATTAAATAGCTAATTATAGATTTCTACCCAAGTATCTATAAGCTACTGCTATAATTACTCTATATTGATAGAGAAAGCAAAACGATACATAGACATTTATGCATCAAACTATACAAAATATAAGAATTGTATTAACATGCATGTTCTACATGCAACAGATCCATAGGCCTACTAATATGACCAATTATTTTTATCAGTTTCTTATCACTAAGGTTGCAATTAATTAGCACAAAATTTTGATTAAAATAATGAATCATTAATGAGCTTCAAGGTCACTTTTTGGCTCGTCAAGGTCATCTCCATTGCTCTCTTTCAATTTGCACGACTTTCACTCTGTTTTAGAAATCTTGCACTCAATAAACATGCATTTAGGGTTTTATTAGTTTTACTTTATAACATTTTACTATAAGTAGTATGTTTTCTGTGCTATGACTTAGCACTGACAGGCCACTAAACAATGCTTTCAACCTATTTGATGTGTTCATCAACAATAAAGTACTGTAATGTTTCCTCTAGCTTTGTATTGTCAATAATTTTTTGTAAAATTATTTGAATATATTCCCAGCTTATGTGTAGGAAGTGTCAACCCTTCAAAGGGTCACAGCATTGACTATACAGTAGAGGTGTATAGTCAATGGTCACAGGCTGATGTTTTAGCCGTCAGATTCATAATACATTGTCCTATTGCTGGATATTGATTTATATTAGTAAAAAGTATTTTGTTTGTTACCTTACAATATCCTCAGATGACCGGCTAAACTGTGTTTCATGGCGACTGCCACATCTTCAGGTTTATCTTCTACAATTCGTCACATATAAAATTGAAAACAAAACACACGATGACATAGACACACTTAACACAAAGACTGTACATTTATTTGATTCACGGTGCGTGCACATGATTGGTTGGGCTGGCAGCGGTCAAGATTATCGATGAGAGCACAACTTAAGAGTTAAAACCCATCCAAAAGCTGAACCTCACATATGCTGCAACCAGAGCTGGCCTTGGGTAGTGCAGGACCCGGTGCAAACATTTAGAGGGGCGCCCCTTACTACCAAAAAGTAGTATCTTAGCAGTACAGTAATAATAACAAACATCTCGATGTATAATATTACAGTACTTCTACTTCCCCTTTTTAGCGAATTTCCCATATAGGGAATAAGCTATTACCGTAGTACTCATGGTAAGACCTGGACCCGGGACTGATTTTTTTTTTCGTTTTGAGGTCCCTAGAGGCCAAAAACACCATCCGTTCAAATTCATATATATATATATACATATATATTTGTATATGTGTCCGTTAGCGCTATAACTCGAGCAAAAACGATCCGATTTTGATGAAATTTGGTACAAACGTGTAAACCTACGTTTATTCGAACGAGTTCGCGAACCAGCATGATCGGACCATGGGAACGGGGGTTTATGGATGGTTTTATGGGGTAAAAATGGGGTTTTCCCACTTTTGACTCAAAAAACATAAAATTTTGCAATTTCTTTCCAAACCATTTTGTAGAGCTTAAAAAAAAAAATAATTTAATATATTGAAGCGTAGTAATGCACCTAATGGTTACGGAGAAAATTCCAAAAAAATGTAAATTTAAAATTCCCATGTTATTCTTATGGAGAATAAGTAAACTGTTATAGTTTGCTTGTTTATAAACATTTTTTGCCCAAATTTGGAAAATGTTTTTATTTCTTACTAACTATTAACATTTTACATGAAAAACACTTTTACCCTCCTTGTTGCAGCAAACCTAAGTATGTGTTAAACTGATTCTATTTAAATAGGGAATAAATGTGATATTTTTAAGGAGACATTTTAGTGTAAATCCAATCATAGGCAAATGGAAATTCGCTTAGTCTGCAGGTTTGCTGCGGCGGGGGTATTTTATTTTAATAATTGTTAAAATTTATGTAAAATTAATGGCTCTGTGCAGCCTAATCTTTCTCATGTTTAACATGGGAGTCAAACTTGAGATGTCACGTCTGGTTTGCAGTTTGTAAGGAATTCTTGTCTCTGGCAGAGGTCTAACTAAAATACATGCCGAAGACTCAGTAATAAAATTGAAAGGATGTGTGAATCTGTTGTGAGTTACACCTCTGATACTTATATCCTTACCATTTTGTGCCCCCCCCATAAATTTGTGTTCTCAGAATTTGGGGTTTTGTGTTCATAAAACAAGGCGAAAAATTGGTTAAAACAGATTCAGTTAAATCAGCATACCTACAGTTTGAACAAGAAATTTGTGTCTACATTTATTAGAATATTGAATTTAGATGGTCATTTAGATGGAAAATTTGACTAAATGAGCATTATTAGATCAACAAGAAAATTTTTTGTTTACATCTAAAAGTGTGACTGGTGGCTGGACTAATTATTAGTATATACATCATAATTTTGAAGCGTTACAACATTTTGGTTCTTCATCCAATTCATTCAGTGTGTTGTCTTGAAAAGATTGATTTGTCATAAATGAGAAATGAGAAGAGTAAATCAAACTCTAATTTTTAGGAGGATACCACATTATAGCAGAAACCACATATTTTACTGGGCTTACATTTATACAGTAGACTCCCTCTCCCTTTATCCGGACACCTTTTAACCGGACATTGGTTTAACCGGACTACACTCGGCAGAAATGACAACTCCTTAACCAGAAAATTTTTATCAGCACATTGGTTTAACCGGACTAGATCGGCAGGAATTGGGTGACTGTTCTCGTGGGAAAGATTTGAGACCAGTGATCACGTGTCTAAATGCAATGCTCTCCTATATTTAAGTCGAATATCACAGTAAACGTTCTGTTTTAAAAAGTTTTTGGGGACGTCGGTTTAACCGGAAAAACCGTTATCCGGACTGGCGTCGGTCTCAAAGAGTCTGGATAAGAGGGGGTCTACTGTAGAAAGATGCTAGACATCCTAAAATCTTCTAAAGTTTTTTTCCGTAGTCAAACTTAAATTTGCGCAAAATTTTAACTAGCTAAAAAACGTTGTGCTAGTTAAAATTTTGCGCAAATTTAAGTGAAATTATGAATAAATAATGAATAATGAATAATGAATAATGAAGTTTATTTCCCACAAAAAAACCACAATGTAACAATACATGAGATGTAGAGAAATAGAACTGGCTACTTGATCCAGTAGTGTAACCAGTTTGCTTATACTAACTTATAGGCTAACATGACGTTGTAATTTATGGTCTAGCATCTGATATAAAACATTGAATTCCGCCTGAACTGTGCATCTGATGGACAAAACAAGAACTGTTTTAATAAACAATGAAAGTTATTACAACAGGATATTATTTATATAATTTATGTCCTGCTGAGAAGAAAGCCAAATTATCGTTGCTTTGCTAAACTGCTTTAAATTTAAACTATTCTTTATTTGAAGTGGTAGATAATTATAGTATTTTGGACCTAGATATTGAAAAGAGTGACGAAAAATAGCTTTATTTACTTTGGGTAGTTTCAGAGTATTATTGGTAATGCTTCTTGTTATGTATGTGTGTGTAATATTTGGTATGACGTTAACTCTGTTTCCACTTCGAACAAAAAACAGTCTAAGAACTTTGAAAACAAAAAGGGTATATTATTGAATTTAAGTGAATATATAATTCAAATCACTACGAGATAGTGTCAACACATGAAAGTGTTGGTGTTGTAAGCACTGAGGGATCAATAGGTGATCTAATTTAAAGGCTGAAGTTTGGCTTCCATTGTTTAATATTGATTGGCATTATAACATGGTTGTGAGAGGTCAGATATCCGTATCTTCTCTTCGCTGTATTTTTTGTTGAGTTCAAACACTCAATTGTAACTTTGCCAGATTGCTAATTTGGCAAAGTTTTCTGCCAATGATAAGTTTATGGACATTGTGCTTCTCGAATGTATAACAATTTTACTAATGCAAACTTTTCATTGTGATTTGGTGTTTAAAATTTACTTTTAAATTTAACTAAATTTTTCCTAGGTGTATACAAATTTGTCTCTGTATTCTTAAAGTTATAGGCTACATATTTTTCTGGTGTATTTAAAAGGTACTTTTGATTTTTGATTTTGTTTTTACTTATGTCCGAGTAACTGAGTGCTCACTTTTGAATGAAGCTGGTTCGATCCTGAACCGTATTGAAGTCAGCTGCATTTCGTCATTGAACTATCAATTAATTGCAGTTGATGATGCTATCGAACAAAAGGTTTTTGTTGGATAAAGACGTTATTTGGAACTTTTCCAAACAAGAAACATTGAAATGTCATGGTGTAGAAAACGCAAATGAATTAAAACCATTCATATATCCTGATAGAAAAATTAAGAGTTTTTAGATCTATTCCAGGGTATATTCTCGATTAGGTAATCGGGACTCTAGCAGTGACAACTAACAAAACTATTTCAGTTGAATTTTAGTGATTTTTAATACATAACATGGCCATTATAAAGTGTTAGAACTCAGTTATCCTTTATGAAAAATCCTATACATTTAACTGTCGGTACCTTTAAGGCTTGCGTTTTGAAATCAAAACAAATAATTTCTAATTTCAATATATTTTCAGTCATTGAAAAAAGAAGTTGACTGGGATAGACCGGAGGAGAGCGACGGACGACGGAGTGTCACGGGAGAAAGCAGCTCCGAGTACAGACACCCTCATGATCCGGTAAGCAAAATAACCTCTCCACAGCGGATAATGCTGGCGTAATAGATTGATTCCGCTTATAATTAAAATTTTATACTCAGATCTCTGTTTGAAGATCGTTTTAGCTGAAGGTAAGATAAGGTTTTTTTTTGGGATTATAGCGGACATTTTACATTTTAATTAGTAATAACAAGTAACAAGTTTTCACAACGCTTTAGGATCTAAATCTGATCCCGATCTCAAGTGAAAACGCACCTAAAGCAAGATTAGTGGACAAACTCAGTCCGAGATGGAAAATAGCAAAAGAAAGATCACACAGAGAACTAGTGGTATACTGTACAATAGTAGTCAAATCTAGAGAAAACGCATGTTGGTTGATTGCTTGAGCCACAGTCTTGAGCAGACGTGTGTGTTGTGGTCTCCTACCGTCTATTCAGGCCCGCTTTTATAAACAGGCAGACTGGGCATATGCCACGGGGCGCCTGACGGGTGCTGTACGACTACTGCCCGTCCGCACCAGGAAAAAAGGGGGGGCGCCACTTTTGAGTTTGCCCCGGGCTCCACTGACCCTTAATGCAGCCATGCCTCTATTTCTTGCATCCTTTCTATTTTTGTCTTGTTTTTAACCACGGTACCACAGTACCCTATGTGGTTTTAATTTTGTGATTCTCCATCTTTAGCTGGGTTTGTATATTCATCTTTTTTTAAGTACTTTTTCTCACCTAAGGAAAGGTTTGGATTTAAGATCCCAAAACTATTAGTACTAATCATGATTGATGGAAATTGTCCATGATAATCGTTCAAATAACAAATAATCAGTCAACTTCTGCATAATGAAGAATTTTTCCAAACAAAACTTTGCAGTTTTTATATCTTGTACAAGTATAGAAATCCATAGACATTAATTGTTGTTGTTATTATTCTTAATGATCCATCGGGTTAGTCTACTTTACCTCAATGTCCGGCTTTAAAGAATGCCGAACAAATCTTAGCATATTTATTTAACTGCATCGCTTGTCTGACCAAAAATTAATTTTCCCTTCAGTGGTTTGTCAAAAAAACCCTCATGTCCCTTTTGAACATCCTTCCAAGAGCATGGCCCTAGGATTAACCCCTTGACGATTCAATATTGTGGTATAAAACAGAAATAAAATTTTGTTGTAGATTTAATTGCATCCCTTGTTGAGGTCATATTAGACTTAGTTGGTGAAGTAGTGAAAATCTTAAATAATTTAGTACATTATGGTACCGAAACCATTCCTGTAAGTCCATTAGTTATACTTCAGGAAGCTTTCAAAATTGTAATACCTTTTTTTGTATTTTACTGTTGGATTTCAATTAATTTTAATTATTATTCAAATTGTAGGAAATTGAATGGTATTTGCATCTGAGAAATCTGGTTTGACCTTTGAACCTTGACATTGAAAACTCCAATTTAAGCTTCCAGTGAGCCCTTTTTAGTTGACAACCCTTTCGACCATAAGCCTCTAAGGCCAGGCGCACACAGGCGATTTTGAGTTGCGCAACAGTTGCCCGACTAATCGGGGGACTGTTGCGCAACTCTCTCGGAGACTCTGAAGTCTAGCGACAGTTGAGCTGGAGTGCGCACACAGGCAACTTTTTAGTCGCGGATCTAGTCTTGAGACGTGTTGGAAATACATTCGTAACAGCGTTCCGAATGGATTTCAATGATACAGCCGTAGTATGTGCTTTGTTGCTGAAGTTTCGCGCGCGAAAGAAAAAGAGAAGATACTGGGTTCATCCCATATAGTGAGCGACTTGTGAAAGGACAGTTTCAATGACTTTAAATATAGTCGGCTTCTTCTCAAAAATCCTCATCACGCACACTCATACTTGCAATTTTCTAAAATCTTCACACAACAAGAGAGCAAACACTAGTGACAGTTCTGACCACGAGTAGTTGAACTCCTGGGGTGAGACTGAGTGACACAGCGACTATTTAGTTGCATGTGTGCGCATCTACACTTGTTTCAATGGATACCAAACCTGGAGTGACAGTCCCGCAACAATTCAGTCGCAGAGCAGTCGCTGGCAAATTGGGTCCGGAAACATCGGTTGCAACAGTTGCGCGACTGTCCCCAGACTGTTTCCTTCGTGTGCGCACTCCAATTTAAAACAATGTTGAACATTTTAGTCGGGCAACTGTTGCGCGACTCAAAATCGCCTGTGTGCGCCTGGCCTAAATCTTTTACTTCCAAAAAGAGGGTTTCAACATTTAAAAGTACACATTAAGTGATTCATATAGGTCAGCTACCCAACGAATCAATATTCCTTTTGCGTGAACATAAAAAATAACTGTTTTTCCTACTTGTAAAAGGTATAATAGCACAGTACTCGATGGGCGGGGAAACGTAGCCTCTATTTTGGAAAGATACAAATATTGGCATAGATCACATTAAATGGGTTACAGTTCCGGCACCTCATTTTTTACAATTCCAGTACTGTAAAAGCATATACAGTAAGGGTGTTTATAACATTACTGATGATTGTGAACAGTCGCAGAAAGGTGCATATAAGACGAAGGAATCAGCCTGTATTAGTATAGTAGAATTCAGGGGCTTTAATGGATTTCAAAAATTTTAGTTGAAACAATCTGACCATTTCAGTGGTTTACTATTGTTTAAAACTAATTCACACTTTTTTGCTCTAGGATTCTTGAGAAAAGTTTTAAAAATTTAATCAAGTTACACTTTGTTTTTGTTATTTTGGACTAAACTAAAAGTTGATAAACTGCAAGAATCAGTTTTACCAATAGCCAATAAAAGAACTAGCTAAGAAAGTTAAGGATTGGTGCCGGGATGGTGCTATGGACAAGTTTCAAAGAGGGGACACAATTACATTTTAAAGGAGCACCAAGGAAAAGAAATAGGGCACAGATCTCTTCACCCTTTGGAAAAAGAGTCCAATCACTAATCAATACAATGCTTGTCTATGCAATTCTAACCTTGACTTTTCTTTCATAAGTACAAATTGATAAACTTGAGAATAAGAGATGAAGCATTTTTGATTCCAAAGTTGGAATTCTAAAAGATTAAAATGGAATTTATTTTTGTCATTACAGACATTGTAAAAGTGTTTGAATACTTCTAGTTAAATATGTAAAATTACTTTATTACACAATCAATACCAAAAACATTTCATTTTAAGAAACAACAAATGTTTCTAAAGATTTTGAAAATGATCAACATTTCCATGTTAATTTGCACCTTATCAAATAGGGTTTTCTATTTTACTCCTTTCTTTTAAACTCTCAACCAATGATAAAATTCAGGGCAATGTACTTGTCTCATCTTAAAGTGAAGTACAACATCAACTAATATGGTGATCTTCCATTCTCTGAGCCATTGGAAGTCTCTAGCTTTGCAATTTTAGTGGATTAGTGGATAAACGCTAATCTATGACAAGTATCCACTAGGATGAGTAAAAGTTGTAAAAGATAAATATTCTGGGATTCAATTGGTTGATATGAAAATTTACACAATATTTATTTACACATTTTGATTATTATGGGTGAAATTCAAGCAAATCTTGTCTATTTTACAGGCTCGATTGCCACTTAAAAATTTAATCGAGTCTCTCTATCCTCTGGTACATACTCAAGAGTACTCTTGCTCAAAGACAATGGCTCTAGCTAAACATAAAATTATTTACTAAAGTAAAAAATCATTATTTAACTTAGCTTTTCTAGACTACATTCTTGCTGGCAAGGAAATATGCATAAGATAGGTTGCCAATGAATTCAAGGAAAAAGTACGAGGAAAACGAGGGTTAAGAACGAGGTGCGGATAGTTCCAGTAATACCAACCATGATAGTTGTATCAGTTTTGTTATAATTGCACTTTCTAAGTTTAACTTGCATACAAGTTTAGAGGTTAACTGTAAGAAAGGGCCATGAGGTCCTAAGTTTGCCTCAATAATGGATTTTCATTCATACAAAATTATTCAAAACTAAGTTCTCACAGTAGATAGAAATATTTTATAAAAATTTGAATACTTTAAAGTCCGCTCCTAAATTGTGTTATAAACTTGTTTCAATCGTCGTAACTTGATTTCTCGGATGTTTATGTATAATACTGTGACTCAGTGATTTGATTTGGTAGATAGCAGTGTAACGAATTTGAAAAGCTGTGATGTTGCCAAAAAACTCAAATGACATGATTTTTTCTATACAGAATTTGATTGATAAAGGAGTTTAAATTTAAATTTTAAATTAAATTTAAAATTTGGTTGACAAGTTATTGATACTGCATAAACAAGGTGCTATTCAACCATACAAAAGGTCCCACCACTTTTTATTATCACAAAAATAGTTTATTTTCTGTTTTTCCTTTTTTTTTGCTATGAAATTAAAACTATACTGATAGTAAACATGTATGTTGACAAATAATCACAACATACATTAAGCATAATATTGAAGCTATGATAGAAATTGTAAATTGAAAACTTCTAGTATAAGCTACTCAATGGAGAGAGCTATGGCGTCTTGGTTTGTATATTGCACGGAACAGTGATGCATGTATTTTATTCATTACAATTATTATTGTTGCATGAATTTTGATGTTTATAACCAGTGCAGGTGGGTGGTTTCACTATCGGCTTTTAATATCTATTTGTAAGCTAAGTTTAACTTCTGTGACAATGCTATTTTTTCATATAGGTAGCTAGCTTAACATATATACTAAGTTTGTGTTACATTGTCGAACAAAGTTTAAGAAAATTAATTAGAAAATGAACCTAATAGTATAGATAAATCCATAGTTACTAGTAAAATCCACAAATAAATAAATCTATTTATTACTGGATTAACAAGTTAATTCTGTGAATTTCCCTTTATTTTAATTTAAAGTACTTTGTGACCAATCTCTGTTCAAACTAATGGCCATTGCCACAAAAATTGAGTTTTAATTTCAATAAACCTTAGCTTTGTAGGTACCGGTAGTGTAGTTTTTTTTGCAAACATTGAAAGACTCGAAACTTATTTTAAGTAGAATATCTTGATC